TTACCTCCTGATTATGAACAATATATGTTTGAATCTTATCAGAGGTGTGCGCAGGGTTCTCGTAGTGTTAATGAATATACATCTGAATTTTTGAGATTAGCTGAAAGAAATCAATTATCTGGAAGTGATAACCAGCAGGCAGCCCGTTATCTAAGCGGTTTAAGACCGTCCATCAGAGATAAAATTGGTGTACAGATGGTTCTCAGTGTACAGGAAGCAATGAACCTAGCTTGAAAGAAGAATTAATGTTCCAAGACAAGGCACGCAGTGATAATTACCGCCGGTACAATGGGAGCGACAATAGACCGACAATTGTCGACAGGAACAAAACAGTCCCGGCAGTACAACCTTCTCACCCGGCAAGCACAAGTAACGTCGGTAAGACTACTACAGGAGGACATACTCGAGGTAATCCTTCAAACCCTCCTAAACCCAGTAACCCTTATGCAAGGCCTGCTCCTATTAAATGTTTTAAATGTAATGAGGTGGGACATAGATCTAGTGACTGTCCCAGGAGGAAGGCAGTTAATATGGTAGAAAGGGAGGAGGAAGAAGATGTGGAGGAGGAAGTATACTGTGGACCTGATGGGGAAGATGAAGAGGGTCCATACGAACATGAAGAGTATACCTGTGTTGTGAGAAAATTAATGTTGTCCCAGAAAAATAAAGATACTTCTCAAAGGCACAGATTGTTTCGTACTAGATGTACTGTCAATGGTAAATTATTTGATTTAATTATTGATAATGGCAGTCAAGAAAATATTATTTGCAGGGATGTCATACGAATGTTACAATTATTTCCTGAAAAACATCCAAACCCATATACAATTGGGTGGATCAAGGAAGGAGGCGGCGTACGAGTGGAGGAACGCAGCAAGGTACCTTTTTCCATTAGTAAGTACCATGATGAAGTATATTGTGATATTGTAGATATGGATGCTTGCCATATTTTGTTAGGGAGGCCTTGGCAATTTCATACAGATGCAAGGCACATGGGTAAGAAGAATACCTATCAACTTGAAAAAGAGGGTATACGTTATACTTTGTTACCCATAGCTGAAAAAAAATATTACAAATGCTCCAAAGGCACATGAGAATAATTTCCTTACCATCACCCATCATTATGCTGAATTTATTAAAGAATGTACGGATACTCATGAGGTACATTTGTTAGTAGTAAAGGAAAAGGTGTTAATGATGAAAATAAATTACAACAGAAGTATAGGGACTATTGGATGAATTCAATGATGTAGTTCCAGAGGAATTACCAAATGAACTTCCTCCTATGAGAGATATACAACACCATATTGATTTTGTTCCAGGTGCTAGCCTACCTAACCTCCCACATTATAGCATGAGTCCTTGTGCAGTACCTGTCTTATTAACACCTAAAAAGGATGGCAGTTGGAGAATGTGTGTCAACAGCAGGGCCATTAACAAAATTACTATTGGGTACAAATTCCCCATTCCTAGGTTGGACGACATGTTGGATCAACTCAGTGGAGCTGTAGTTTTCTCAAAAATAGATCTCAGGAGTGGATATCATCAGATCAGGATCCGTCCCGGAGATGAATGGAAAACAACCTTCAAGACTAGAGATGGTTTGTTCGAGTGGTTAGTCATGCCCTTTGGGCTAACCAACGCACTCAACACCTTCATGAGGCTGATGAACCAGGTATTGTGCCCCTTCATTGGTAAATTTGTGGTAGTCTATTTTGATGATATTTTGATATACAACAAATCTATCACTGAGCATGTGGGACATATTAAGGATGTCCTGAAAACATTGAGGGAAAATAAATTATATGCTAATTTGAAGAAATGCATCTTTATGAATGATAATTTATTATTCTTGGGATTTATTATAAGCAAGGATGGTGTGAAAGTAGATGGGGAAAARGTGAAAGCCATTAGGGAGTGGCTGAGTCCATCCACTGTCACAGATGTCAGGCGATTTCATGGGTTGACAACCTTCTATAGGCGCTTTATTAAGAATTTTAGTAGTATCATGGCTCCCATTACTGAATACTTGAAAAATGGTAAATTTCAATGGGGAGAATAACAAGAGCAAAGTTTTGCTCTCATAAAAGAAAAATTATGTACTGTTTCTGTTCTTGCCTTGTTAGACTTTAATAAATTATTTGAAATTGAATGTGATGCTAGTAGAGTTGGCATAGGGGCTGTATTACTGGGAAAAGTGGTTAGAGCCTTGAAGACATGGTAACACTATTTAATTGTAAAAGAATTTGTTCTCTATACTGACCACCAGGTCCTAAAATATCTTAGTGGGCAAAAGCAATTAAGAAGTGATTTACATGCCAGATGGTCTACTTTCCTAGACAAGTTCCCATATAAAATTGTGTATAAGATAGGACAGCAAAATAAAGTGGCTGATGCAGATAGTAGGCGTGTAGCTCTCATCAAGACCCTTAGTGTTGAGATTGTGGGTTTTGAGTGCCTAAAAGACTTATATGCCCAAGATGAAGACTTCCAACAGGTATGRGAGAAATGTGTGAATAAGCAGTCAGCAGAAGACTTCTTTATTTATGATGGGTTCCTTATGAAAGGGGAACAACTGTGTATCCCTTGCACTTCCCTCCGCGAAAAGATCATCAGGGATTTGCATGGGGGTGGATTAGCAGGACACTTGGGATGGGACAAAATAATAGAAGCAGTTAAAGGGCGATATTACTGGCCGAAATTAAGAAGGGACGTGTCTACCATTGTAAACAAGTGCTATGTTTGTCAGACAACTAAGGGACAAACCCATAACACAGGTCTCTACATGCCCCTACCCATTCCTACTACTATATGGGAAGACTTGTCCATGGATTTTGTGCTAGGATTGCCAAAGACCCAGAGGAACATGGACTCCGTCTTCGTGGTGGTTGACAGATTCTCAAAAATGGCTCACTTTCTCCCATGCAAGAAAATAGCAGATGCATCCGCAACAACCAAATTGTTTTTCAGGGAGATTGTTCGCCTGCATGGGGTACGCAAGACCATCACATCAGATCGTGACACACGGTTCCTCAGTCACTTTTGGATGACCCTGTGGAGAATGTTTGATTCATCACTTAATTTCAGCAGTACAACCCATCCGCAGACAGATGGACAGACAAAAGTGGTAAATCGGACCTTAGGGAATTTAATTCGCAGCATATGTCGGGAGAGGCCAAAACAGTGGGACTTCGCCATAGCCCAGGCYGAGTTCGCCTATAACAATGCAGTGCACAGTTCTATAGGCAGATCCCCATTCTCCATTGTGTACATGAAGGTCCCTAACCATGCACTGGATTTAGTGAAACTACCCAGAGTACCCAGTGCCAGTATCTCAGCAGAACAGATGGCAAAATAGATCCAGTCCGTCCAAGAGGCCGTGAACTAGAAGCTAGAGCAAACCAACGCCAAGTACAAGATGGCCGCAGACAAGCACCGCCGGCCTCAAGTGTTTGATGTAGGTGATGAGGTTATGGTCTACTTAAGGAAGGAAAGAATTCCCGTAGGTACTTATAACAAGCTGAAGCCTCGGAAGTATGGTCAATACAAGATCGTGAAGAAGATCAATGACAATGCCTATATAGTGGACCTACCAGATCATATGGGTATATCCAAGACCTTCAACGTTGCTGACCTTCACCGGTACCTGCCAAAAATATCACTTGCCTATCCTAGTCACGACTTGAGGTCGAGTTCTCTCCAAGTGGGGAAGAATGATGGAGGCCCATACCAAGAAAGCCCACCTCATCCTAAGGGGTGGCAACTCTAGGATAAGGATAAGGCAAGATCCAAGAAGTCAAGATAGGGAAGGAGCCAAGAATCCAAGATTATCAAGATTAGTCCAAGAAAGATAAGCAAGACTCCTCCAAAGATTAGCAAGATAAGGTAAGACTCTTCCAAGATTATCAAGAAAGACTCCAAGAAGCATCAAGATTAGCAAGATAATCCAAGATTCATGCATCTAGGGAGATCGGACGGTGGAAATCAGGCAAAGAGGAATTCGATCATATCTAGATTAGATGTTTTGATCTATCCTAGTTGTTCTTTCCCAGTTCTTTTATAATTTCCAGTTCTTTTACAATTTCAATTTCTAGATGTATTATAAATACTGCTATTTTCCAGTTAATGAATCAATGCAGACTTCTCAATTTCCAGAATTTCTTCTTGTTCTCTTCTTCCTATTTTCGCCACCTTTTCTCTTTCCTAGAGAATTCGGTGCTCTTCGCTAGAAACTAGCAAATGCCCGATGCTTGTATAACCAGTTCCGATTTTCCATTACTTCCACGCTGCATCACACATTCTGTTCTTCAATCTCAAACAAAGGAGAAGCAGCGGCCGAAGGAAGAAGAAAGAAAGCAGCAGCTAATGCTTGGGTTTTGAGTTGAATAACGACGGGGTAATTTTGGTATTGCAAAATGGACCGAAAATAATAAAGGGTAAAATGTTAAATTAACGATGTCCGTGAAGTGAAGTTATTGTTATCTTACTGAGATGGTGAGTTTTTGACGTTAAATGAGGATGAGTTTAAGAAAAATGCTAATGGGTTTTAGTTGGTGATACGCACCAACAGATTATTCAATCGCCACGTCATCCTTCCACGTATTACAAAGTAAAGACCCTACACAAGTCGTACATGGGAAAATCAATGGCGACGTCGTAATCGGATTCGGATCGACTAGTAAGGGCTTCGATCACTAATTACAACTGTTGTCTATCGAAAGAAAAGTTCTCTCTGGAACTTGCAGCCCAAGAATCCAAGTTTTGTAAAATTACAATTTTTGGCAGAAGAACGTCAAGGAAAACGATGATAGTAAGGTCAGAAGAGTCATTTACTATGCTTACAAGTTCAGGAAACCTTCGAGTTCGAGACGAGACGACAGTGAGAAGCGTGTATCTTCTCCAGAAGCTTCTTCCCTCTTCTTCTTTTCTCTTTCACACCTTTCTCTCTTCGCGCCAAAACCCTAAACCTTCATTTCTGTGATTTAATAACTGATTTTGTAAAGAAGCTTAAACCTCGTCTAGTCCAACTCTCGGAGGTTCGTTAATCCTCTTTTTCTAGTTGAGAGGATTGTTCTTCGAGTTTCCCTATTTCGCTAGAGAAATATTTCCAGAAGTTGAAGGCTTTTGCCGGATTCATTTGGTGCCTAAATTATAAACATAGGTTTTTTATTGTGAAGTTTTGGTTTTGTAGGAAAAAGCAAACGAAAACCGTAGAACATCTAAAACCTTGAACCGCCTGGAGGAACAGTATGGCGACTTCGGTTCTTCTTAGATCGTTGAAGCGTTCATCTTATCTTTCTGCTTATGGATCCGTATGTCTTCTCGACCAGGTCCTCGAATTGTTTTCATCTCACGAGTAACCATTTCTTCGTGTTGTGTGATTGCTTGGTTTTCACTTGTTAGCGAGATAGGCTATCTGATCCGTATCAGTATTGTATCCTGTTGATTGGAATTGGCTTTATTTTTTCAAATTTTAGTCAGAAGCTTCAAATTGCTTTTAGTTTTCTTGATTTTCATATAATTGGGATAAGGACATAGGGCTTTGTAAAAGTGAGTTGTTATTGATTCTTCTTTTTTCTTTTAGCAATGGATTTTATTTATTTTTAATAATGCAGTGATGATGAAGCTCCTTTTCCTTGATTGATAATAGTATCCCTTTAGGGGATTTTTTTTTTTTACTGAAGAAAGTATTGATTGCTGCTGTTGATGTTTCTGTGTCCCAAAATCACAGACTGATAAAAAATGTTTCTTTTTATTTAATGCCTACCTCTAAGATGAATAACTTTTTTTATTTTCATTACTACGCGTTATTTTTTCCCGTTATTTTTTTCTCTTACAATTACACGAATAGAAATTAAAAATGCATTAGAAGAATCAAAACGAGAAAAATTAACGTGAAGTAATGAAAATAAAAAAAGAGATTCATCTAAGAGGTAGGAGTTAAATAAAAAGAAGGTAGTATGTTGTTATTTGGCTAGCGGTGAACAAAAGTTTATGTTGCATTACTGAAGCCAATTCCTATGCACTATTGTATTAAACCATCCAGTTCCATTGGATATAAATAGTAACTGAACATTTGGTCATTAGCATTATTGAACGAATTTTAGTCAACCAAGTGAAGATAACATTAGGTGACAAGATTTAGACTATTCTCGTTTTTATCAATTGAATTTCTAATACATCATTCTGAACATGAAACTTTAACTTTTCTAAAACATCGTTCGTCTTGAACCAACTGGGGAAACTTGAATAAGTTGTTCATTGACATTTTTTTCCCTCTATTTTGGTTGTCCTGTGCAGTTGACTGGCAGTGCTAAGAGCTCATGGACTAGTGCTGCATTGGGTTATAAGTGGGCAAATTTGTCCAGACCATTCAGGTATTTGCTACTGGTTTTGGTTGCGTTATTGCTTTTAATCATGGCTTCTTTGTTAACTGGGGATGATTTTTGTAATGATCCAGCTCAAGGCCTGCTGGGAATGATGTTATTGGTATCGACTTGGGTACCACCAACTCATGCGTTGCAGTTATGGAAGGAAAGGTTGAATTTCGTCCTGAAAGATTCACTTGTTAGATTTTCTATAACATCCTAAATAAGATGTTTCATTTCTTTTCATGGAGCTTTATCTGATTCTTACTTTTGTTTTGTTTTTTATTTTATTTTATTTTCATGTTCCTGATTACTGCAAATTTTCTGGTGCAGACTGCAAAAGTTATTGAAAATTCTGAAGGAGCTCGGACTACACCTTCTGTGGTTGCCTTCAACCAGAAGGGTGAGCTCCTTGTAGGAACTCCTGCCAAACGTCAGGCTGTGACAAATCCCACAAATACTCTATTTGGAACTAAACGACTTATTGGCAGAAGGTTTGATGACCCTCAGACACAGAAAGAAATGAAGATGGTTCCATACAAGATAGTTAAGGCTCCTAATGGTGATGCCTGGGTTGAGGCCAATGGACAACAGTACTCGCCAAGCCAGATCGGGGCTTTTATTCTGACTAAGATGAAAGAAACTGCAGAATCTTACCTTGGGAAGTATGTTTCCAAAGCTGTGATTACTGTCCCAGCTTATTTCAATGATGCACAAAGACAAGCAACAAAGGATGCAGGAAGAATTGCTGGTCTAGATGTACAGAGAATTATTAATGAACCAACAGCGGCTGCATTGTCATATGGCTTGAATGACAAAGAGGGTCTAATAGCTGTCTTTGATCTTGGTGGTGGAACTTTCGATGTTTCTATTCTAGAAATCTCAAATGGTGTTTTTGAGGTACTTAATTCATCTCTTTCCTTTTGTTTCTCCCAATTTAGGATTTTATCATCTCTTTTATTTCTCTAAAATCTTTCTCCTCCTTCAGGTCAAAGCAACAAATGGTGATACTTTCTTGGGTGGGGAGGACTTTGACAATGCTCTGTTAGAATTTCTGGTGAGTGAGTTCAAAAGAACAGAAGGGATTGATCTTTCAAAGGACAGGTTGGCCCTGCAGAGACTTCGAGAAGCAGCGGAGAAAGCTAAAATAGAACTTTCATCCACATCCCAGACTGAAATCAACCTGCCATTCATCACTGCTGATGCATCAGGTGCGAAGCACATGAACATCACATTGACTAGATCAAAGTTTGAGAGTTTGGTTAATCACTTGGTTGAGAGGACCAGAAACCCGTGTAAGAATTGTTTGAAGGATGCTGGCATATCCATCAAGGATGTGGATGAAGTTCTTCTGGTTGGAGGAATGACCCGTGTGCCAAAGGTACAAGAAGTAGTTGCAGAGATCTTTGGCAAGAGTCCAAGCAAAGGGGTGAATCCAGATGAGGCGGTTGCTATGGGAGCTGCAATTCAGGGTGGCATCCTTCGTGGTGATGTTAAGGAGCTGCTGCTTTTAGATGTTACTCCCCTATCCCTTGGTATTGAGACTCTTGGTGGTATCTTCACCAGGTTGATCAACCGAAATACAACCATTCCCACAAAGAAGAGCCAGGTTAGTCTGCATGTCCAAATTTTGATCACTCAAGAAATTTTAAATTAATGATTGTTTATTACATACATAGGTTTGCCTTTTGACCAGGCTAGTATGCTTAATTTAGGCAATTTAAGCATAGATTTGGTGTTGATTTAGGGTTCCCGTTTTTGGGCTTAGGTATTTATGCTACTGCTTGGCCCAGCCTGAGCCCACTGAAAATCCAGGTTGGGTTATTTGCATTTGGGCATCATGCTGGTACGAGACATAGTAGAAACTTGTATCATATGATGATGAATATTGTGGAGCACTTTCATGCTTTGTATATATTAAAATTCCAATTACATTAAGTAAATATAAGTTTGTAAAATTGACACTTCAAAAATTAGATTAGTATGAAAGGATGATATAAGCATATTAAATGGGATGTCCATACTTGTACCTATGTCCATGTCTGTATTTGCTTTTGGGCATCATAGGTATCTATCTACTCCTTTTTTGCAGACTTTCAAAAAACAGCCCGGAAACAGAATCTGGCAGGTCAGTGGTTCAACTGATTCAACCCTTAGTTAATCTTGTAAGACTCAGACTAGACTGGATGGTTGGATTGTTGGACTTGGGAACCAGAGGGAAATATGAAAATTTCAATCCTAGATTTTAGTTTTCCCAAAAACCATCATCATCCCCTTATCCCAACTATATGGGGTCAGTTACATGAATCCTGTTTCACCAATCCTTAATGCCATATATACACTGTTAAACCGTGAGTGCTTAAATCATTTCTTACTACTACCCAAATCGTCTGATCCACTATTAACCCAAGCAAACCATCTAAGCACTGGCTAGGTTTTAGTGACCCCGCTGGCTTTCAACAACCCACCTGGGCCACCACTTCATAATGTATTATAAAATTAATATTAGGGGAGTTCAACTCACAACTTCTTATTTACAAAGAATTACATATTACCATTTAAGCCACAATACAATTTGTGTTTATTTTGTTTATTTAACTAGAGAATGACCCCGTATTAAGTACAGAGCAACTACAACTACAGTAGCATTTAGTTTGAAATTTACTATTTAATTATAAAAAAATAAATTAGAAAAATTAATATGGGTCTTACATCTTTGTAATTCACAATGTATTATGACTTATTTTTGTTTGAAAATCACTATTAATTTAAGAAATTAAATGAGGTCTTATTTGTAAACAGTAACCCAATTTAATTGGTATTTGCTATTTATTTGATAAATTTATTTTTAGTTTTTTATGTGTTTTTTTTTGATAAATAGCCACGTCTGTATCGCTTCAAAGTGGATTGAATGTGTTTGAATAAACCACTTCTAAGGTAGTTATTCTATTTGGAAGTGGAATTAACCACTTTTGAGATCATTTTTTCTAAAAAATTGGAGTACCACATGTCTGAATGGAGGGATTGTTGACTGACCACATTCCTTTAATATATATATATATACACTATACACTACAAGATATGTATTGTCAGTGATTAATGGTCACTTTTCTAATCTTCATTCAAGTCTTAAAACATGGTCGCTGTTGTCACAAATAAAATAAAAAATGAATCAATTTGCAAAAAAATACAGAAAATTGGCATGTTTCTAATATTAAATATTTCATATTAAAAGCAAGTGGTGATTAATGAAAATTATTATTATCAATAATGGAAATGATTCAAAAACACAAGTAGTGAATTAGTATCTGACCTGTGACCTGCTGACTAGTCCGCTGATACAACCGGATGGGTCACCAGGGTGCTGATCAAGTTGATGCTTTTTTTGGGGGGAAGTGGACCCAAAAACATGGTTGGGTGACTCATGACTGTTCAAACAGTTTGATCGCAGTTTGAAAACGCATTGATTGCTTTGCAGAGCTATTTCTGATTACATGTTTTTTTAATATAAAATTAGATAAAAAATAATTATTACATGTAAATTATGTAAAATATAAAAAACAATTATTAAGAAATGTACATAAAAGTAATAACGGCATATATTAGTACTTATTTTTGGTCCATTCTGGTTGGGTTGGAACCACCTTGATAAACACTGCTGTGTTTAAACCAGCAGGGGAATTGTCACCCCAAGGATGGGTGGTTAGCACAGTTATGGCCTTATGAGGGAATGCTGACACTAGTGGAAAATAGAAGTATTTGAGACAGTACCATGAATAATATAGACTTGGATCAGTTTGCACCCCGTGGAATCTGGTCATCCCTACTACTGAATTCATCATCCGCAACTGACTGGTGCATTTGAATTCTCAGGTGTTCTCAACTGCAGCTGACAACCAGACTCAGGTGGGCGTACGGGTGCTGCAAGGCGAGCGTGAGATGGCAGCTGACAACAAGCTCTTGGGTGAGTTTGAGCTTGTAGGTATTCCACCTGCACCTAGGGGCATGCCCCAGATTGAAGTCACATTCGACATCGATGCCAATGGGATTGTCACTGTTTCTGCGAAGGACAAAGCCACCGGCAAAGAACAACAGATTACAATCAGATCATCTGGAGGGCTTTCTGAGGATGAGATCGAGAAAATGGTAAAGGAGGCCGAGTTACATGCTCAGAAGGACAAGGAGAGAAAAGAATTGATCGATATTAAGAATACTGCAGATACAACCATCTATAGCATAGAGAAAAGTCTTTCTGAATACAGAGAAAAGATCCCCAGTGAGGTTTCGTCAGAGATTGAATCTGCCGTGGCAGATCTTAGGAAGTCGATGGCAGGCGAAGACATCGATGAAATAAAATCCAAGCTGGATGCTGCAAACAAAGCCGTTTCAAAGATTGGTCAGCATATGGCAGGCAACTCCAGTACTTCAGGGTCTCAAGGTGGTGACCAGGCCCAGGAGGCAGAATACGAGGAAGTAAAGAAGTAGATATAGTAGGTCCCAAGGTGTCGAGAATTTTACAGGTATCTCGTATTTTTGTTGAATGCTTGTAGGGGTTTTGCTATCATGCACAAGCATTAGAACTGGCGATTACAATAACTGTTTAGAAAGGGAGCCGTTACCAGCTTCAATTTTTTTTCTTTTTTTTTTTCACACGGGATTTTTTTTTTATCAATAACCACAGAAGTTGGGAACGCACCGAACTCAGTTTCAGTCGATGCAAGGCCTGTTCGAACAGCCTTTGTCGCCTTGCATTGAGAATATCTCCCCATAAAATAAAATACATGGGTACAGACATATTCCCAGTGTATGGCTATAAAGGCTGTTCGAACGGGCCTTGCACTGACTGAAGCCGATTTTTTTAGGGGTTAGATCGATGTTTCTTCACTGTATTCGGGATGATTTGAGAGAGATCCCAACTCGAAAGGGAATAGACTTTAGGAGCTCCTTGCCTTGTGAAATTGAAAGTACAAGGCTCCTGCCACTTAAGTTTTTATTGAGTTTAGAAAAAATTCTTGATCAGTAATCTGAATTTTAGGGGTCGTCTCAAGTCGGTTCTTAAAACATGTCTATACAATACTCTGATTTTCAGAATGTGTATTAGGTAATTTTGGAAATGTCAAAATTACCTATCAAGTGTTATTTAATATTCTTTATCTGCTACTTCTACGTAAATCAAGTTAAATTATAAAATTTCTTCTGGAATGATAGATTACCGGTTATCACGAAGAAACCAGTTTGGTGGCATTCTTGCTTCTTAGTGATGACCAAGGCCTAAGTTCAACAAATGCGGACGTCACTTGACTATCTTGTTGCTACTTGTTTAACATTCGCCTCCAAAATTTCTTAGTAAACAAAAAGTTAGAAAATTTGAATCTTAGTGATGACTGATGGATTGGAAGTTTAGAACATGGGCAAGTCAGAATTGGGCCTAAGGCCATATGTTGGGCTCGGGGATGGGACACACTCAGATTGATCAACCGACCCACATTGAAATTTAACCACGTGTGGGATGTGCCGCCTTCTCGTTTCAAGGTAGAAAGAAATGGGAAGCGGTGAGGTTGGGAAGAAATGGAGAAAGAACTAGTTCAGTTTTAAGGTAGAAGACAATGAACAATGTAGAAGGCAAAGTTTTGAAGGGTAATTTTGATATTTTCAAAAGTTTTGAGTGGCTCATGTCATTATGTGATATGGATAACTGACTTGAACCAAGACAATTTTCTGTTGAGTTTATTTTCAAGTTCCAACCGGACTCGCTTAAACCATTGTTGGTTCTATTATCGGACCCTGGTGCAGAGAATCGTCCCGGTTCACGTTTGAAACGCGAGATAAAATAATTGACATTGTTCAATGAGCCGTAGATGATGCATCATCTCTTAAATATTTGTTTTCCGCCCATTTTAGAGAAAAAACAAATGCAGCCTACAAAATCCAATACCGAGAATATCATAGGCCCTGAACATGCGAACGTGATGAAGATTGACGCATTAAGTGTTTTCTATCATGGCTTAAAAAAAGTGTTCATTATTTTTCTAGGGCCTTTGCCTTTTTTTTACGAGTTCTAGGGCCTTTGCCATTCGAGCCAAGCAATTGCGTACTTACAGTGCAAATCTTTTTTCTTTTTTTGTTCGAAACTGATTCATTAAAGCAACACAGTACAGGAAACTAGAAAGTGGAAATAGACCCCCCCAAATCTTCAAGTCTTAAACTACATAACATATAACCAGATTACCCACTACTAAATACACAAACACACAATCTACCAAGTAACCTACAAATTGAAAAGAAACAACAAAACAAGGCCAACACACTTCACATAAAATCCGACTGAGCTACACGCTTAGGCATTCCTGTAGAGCATCCAGCAGCTATAAAGGAGGCTGATTCTCTAGTAACAAAGGATCTCCAAAATCTTTGGAAACGAGCAAATGAGCAGCTTCATTGTTCTTCCTTTGAAGTATAAACATGCATAAATTTCACTTTGATCGATTTGGAGAGTCGATTAATATCCTTGACTGGAACCCATAAATCAACAAGAGAGCCAATTATATTGACTCAGTGTAAATTTCCAAGTAAAATTAGCCAACGAACATTTGAAACTTCCATACAAGGAATTCCGTTAGTTTTACCTCGCAATAAACAAAAACTATCTACTGCATCTCACAACCATCAAGTGACTACAATGCCAAAAGATGGCCAAAATCAGCACGATTTTTTTCTAGGGTGGGAATTAGAAAGTTTCTTTGTAATTAGATAGTTAAATCTCATATGAGCTTACAAGAAACAAAAGTCAACGCTTTGTCATCTTGGTGATCCACGACTTGCTTGTTTCATTGGGTGGTTTCCAGATGATATCCTCAAGTTTGCTACAAAAGTTATTGTAGAACTGCAGCACAAAAGCTTAATCACATCAGTATTCATATAGGAAAAGAGCATCATCGGATCAAATATGAAGTTCCTTTCTCCGAAGTCTTTTTGCTCTTTTTTTTTTTCCTTCCAACTTTCGTTCTTTTTCCTTGTGGAAGGTGAGATGGGATTGGAGGCTCTTCTTTTTAAGTGCAAATAAGAGAAAGAACCGCACATTCACTGGGTCAGCACAGTGGTTAACAAGGAATTGCGAGACACAAACATGTCAGAGAACCTGACCTTAAGAAATTCAACTGCATCTCCAGCTACTTTCTGAATGTCCACCATGAAAAACGAGGGAGCAATTCCAAATACCTATTTGGTCATTAAGTTGGAACGTGAGTGTTTTGGAAACATGTACAATATTTAATTAAAAGGTACTCCGTAATAAGAACTAAGCAGAAATGGATATGGACTGTCTTACTTCCAAAATAACAGAGATATGTGTGGTTTTATTTGCGGAAAGCCCTTCCACCCTCATCTGAGTAACAACACAATATCTCAGTTCAAGTCCTAGAGTAACTGTTAAGTAAAAAATATTAAATAAAAAATATATGGAATAAAATGAAACAATACACTGAGAAGTAGAAGTACCAAGTTTCTTCTTTCCAAACAAAAATATCACTAACCAATTATTCAATATCGCCAAGTTTCCAAACACCTTGAGGCAAGAGGCAGAGATGTCTCAATCCTTAAGCCTGGTTTGAGATTTAGGGCCCTATAAGATGAATCGTACACCTTATGCCTCAAGGTATGAGGCTATGGAAGACATAAGTCTCAAATGTTAGGAGATGAAACATTTTCCTTAACATAATTGACGTTTGTTAACTTGGAGTTACCTGCCATATGCTGACCAATCTTAGAAACGGCTATAATATGCCTCATACCCTCACACAAGTTGCTGTACACAGGGATTATACAACCACTGCCTATGCACCCTTATAGCCCCAACACCCTGCTTTACAAAAAGAATATCATATACAAAAAGAAAAGAGCTGTAATATTCTATTTTTGAACTTGTTTACAGCAAACCAAGAGAACGTTTTTCCCAATATTTCCTGAATACAGTCTGTTGAACTATTTTTGTTCTTGAAAATCTTTGCATTCCTCTCCTGCCAAGTGCACCAATAACATACCCTTCCTTAACAGATTGTATCTGGTTAATATTCTGTTCAAATATGCAGTCCACACAAAAAAGGGTACCTTTGTGGGAACATTCTTGCCCCAAACAATATTCACCAGAATTATCTGGCCTTCATATCTAGAAATAAAATCGAACAATGATTTAACTGAGAAATTCCCAGATTTTTTCCACTCCCAAATTCTTCTATCTTCCTCCCAATATCAACTTGAATACTATACAATTTGTGCAACATTTCCACCATTGAATCTACTTCCAAATCATTCAAATTCCTTCTGAATTAATGGTCCCATACCACATTATCATTCTACCTCTGCATGCAGTCTGCCGACAAGCTTTTGTATCCACTGCAAGCTCAAAGAGGACAGGAAACATTTTCATCAATAGCTTATCTTCACACCATACATCCAGAATTTCACACGAAATCTGTTTCCAACTTTGAACCACAACCCCTTTGGAAAAGAATCATAGGCTTTCCCAATGCCTTTCCAAATCGAGAACCCATATGATTGGTTTGGTACCCAGGGTCCTATCCCATGTTTCTATGTCCATATTAAGCTACCACCACCCTCCTCCATAACCTCCCTTTGATTCTCACTAAATCAACAAAACCACCTTCCTGAAAGAGCAATATTTACATTTTTCGCCCTTCTCACACCCAAGCCTCCTTGATGTTTGGGCTTACATACCTTATTCCAACAGACCAAATTATATTTCTTCTAATATTTCCTCCACCCTCTCCATAGGAAGTTTCTCATCTTCTTCTTTATAAGATTAGCCATTCCAGTCGGGATTGGATACAAAGATAGAAAATGCACAGAGAGAAGACAGCACACTTCTCAACAGAGTAATTTTGCTTCTGTAAGAGAGATACTTGGCTTTCCAAGAGGCCAACTTCTTATCAATTTTTCAACAATTGGTTCCTATACCAATTTAAAATTGCATCTAGTAACCAGCAGCATCCCCAAATACTTTAAAGGCAGCTTCCCCACTCCTCCCAATTTTCTAACTCAACTTCCCCGGTTCCCCCACAGAAACTAGTTCATTCTTATACATGTTTACATGCAATCTGGGCACAACTTCAAACCATCCAAGGAATGCCATGACGTAACTGAGTTGCTAATGAGATGCATCACAGAAGACAAGTGTGTTTCTGATTATCTTTATAAATTCTTGTTGCATCCTTTGTGTCTACATACATATTCAATTTGCATTTACTGGCATGTTGAAATTATATTTATGTCTACATATTTCTGTTATTCAATTTCTTCAATATTTTTGGAGGCTTAAGCCACTTTTTTGTTATCTCACAAACATTCAAAAATGAACTGCTAAATGAAGCAAAGAAACAGAAACCTAAGAAGCAAAAAAGATTGTGAACCCTGAGCTATCTACCTTGTAATTACGAATATGGGTCTTGAAGCCCATGGATTGTGCAACAACTTCCATACTTGACAGAACAACTTTTGCTGGTTTTTTTGAAATAAAGCGAGTCTGATGCTTTGCAGAATCCTGTCAGGAGAACTCAAGCTTTTAATACAATAACAATGTAATACTATCAAATAATCAGAAGAGAGAGAGAGAGAGAGAGAGAGAGAGAGAGATGTGGAAATAGGAGCATTTGGGCCAGCTTTCAGTGAAGTAGAAATAATTTGATGGGTGACAGTGGGAATGGTTTCCCTTTCAAGGTGTTGTAGAACCCTGGAATTCCTTCAAAAGTGACCTTTATGGTCTGGATGACGGTACTTAATAAATGTTTGACCAAGGAGATTTTGATGAAAAAGATGCTTGGTTATTCTTCTTGCAGTTGTCTTCTGTAACCATGAAATTGAATCTATTGGTCACCTGTTTCTTCATTGCACACTTGCATGGAGGCTTTGACCTGTGCTTCTTAAGGCAATGAATGTATGTTGGGTCTTGTCTTCATCAGTAAAATAGGTTAAGGGGGTTGGCATCTAGGGGGGTTGAGTAGGAGAGGGAAGAAAATTTGGAGGTCTGCTCTGGTTGTGTCAATGTTGAAAGAAAGAAAATAGAGGGTATTTGAAAACAAGCATCACAAGAGAGTGAGGTTATTAGGTATTCATTGGCTTATGGCATAGGTGACTATCTGCATCTGGTAATTTTTCAAATATTCCATATGGCAGGAGTTTTTCCTTAGATATCCTGTCAGGCTAAATGCTGGGTGCTGGGCTCATCCAAACCATCCATTAGTTAGGGGATACTCTCTGAATCAGCCACAGGTTCACTTCCCTAGTCCAAGTTATCCCTATACACCATGTCTTGTTGAAGAAATCCCAACTTACATGAGCAATCCAAGATATCAAGATTCTAATCTAAAAAATGGCCCAAAAGAAGGGCTCATTTCGATCATATGGCAAGGGGTTTAAAAATAAAATTTCTCTAAGAATAGAAGTCAGTCAAACAAACATGTGGGCCCTTTTGGTCCCTCTAAAAGGAATTAGAAAATGCACTCCCATATAGGAAGTCAAGGAATGGGAGTAAAATGCTAATTTTTCAGTAATTCCAACATAAAATATAAAATTTGGAGAAGCAAGAGCAGTCCAAACCTGTCCACGGTTGAACAGTGCTGAAAGATTCAGCCCTTGAGAGAGAATTATTAAGTCAAATGCATTTAGAATAAGAGGACCGATATCATCATTCCCAGGTTGCTCATTAACCCGATGTTCCTACAGAAGTCCGTATCATTGATTAAAAACTAAAACAATTATATTTGAAGTAACAGAAACAACACTCGAACAAAATATTTTAGAAAATTTAAAGCATATAAGGAGAGAATTCACAGAAATAACTATCATGAACAGAATTCACAGAAATAACTACAACCAAAATCATGAACCATAGAACAGCTCCAATGTTTTACACAACATTTTCCATTATGAAAAATCTCAAATACAACACTAACCTCAGGATCATCAAAAACAGCATATACATCATCCAGGTTAACATCCTCATACTCAACAAGCCTAACAGGAACATAGCCCTTTCTGAACCACTCATCACGCCTAATCTCTTCAATGCAAATACGCTGCACAAATTGAGACAAATTTGAGTCACCAATGCAACAAAACAAATGTTTAATTCCATTAAATTTGTTAAAACAAGAACATAAATGGTATATCCAAAAAACAACTAAGCCCCCATGTGTTAATTTCCAACATGAACATGTTTAAGCTTTTGAGAACCCCCTTCCCACTATTGACGTAATTCTTGATTCAAAATGTACTATTTCTAGAGGCCAGCACTTCCATTTCCAAACCTAATTTTTAACATGAAATTAATTAGATTACCAATCACAATTTGTTCACCAAACAGCAGAAAGCTGGTTAAAATTTTAGAATTCCCAACTGTATCATGCTCATGCACCGTGAATTCTTTGTCCTAATCAATGTTGTCAAAATCTTATGATTTCCGATACGATTCACGATTTTAATCATGAATCCCAAGGGTTTCAATTCGAATCTTGTGTTTGAATCCTTTTCTGCAAAAATCTTACAATTTTTGCTTGAATCCTACGATTTGATTCAGAGATCTTATGATTTTTACGATTCAAATAAATCCAATTAAGAATTAGTTCTCTACTTTTTTCTTGTTTATATTTAGTTTTGTCGTGGGAGACTTTGTTTATATCCCTTACTAGGAAAAGATTTATTTACATTATTCAAAACTAGAAATTGAGTTTATTTTCTATCATATGTAAGTTAAAGGGCCATTATGTGGATTTGTTTGATTTTCAAGTCAAACTTGATTGTATCATCTTAGGCTTCTATTGTATAAGTGGTAAATTCTATTGTTTTAAGTATATATATGGCAAATATAGATAAAAAATAGGGTAAAGTCACTTTCCTATACATATTTAGCCTTCTAATATATATATATATGTGTGTGTGTGTGTGTGTGTGTATTATATATATAATTTTTTGACAAGTTTGTCAAAACTAGAAATAATCTTACGATTTACGATACGATACATGATTCGATTTGATTCAATTTTCTCTACAATTTACGATATGATTATGATTTTCAAAACATTGGACTCTTAATTAGTTATTAAATGAAGAGCTCAACTCAATGCAACAAGGAGAGAATATATTCCTGGCAATGCACGAGTTTGAAGCTCCAAATTACCACTAATGGTGCAAAATATCAGAAAAAAGACGCGACTTTTTTAAAGGTGAAAAATAGACATGAATATGAAATCTGTACATATAGATGAATATCACAGTAAGGGTGTCACAGCTAAACAAACTACAAACATCAAGCCCAATTAAGCCATCTACTAATTTCCAACATAATCATATACAAGCCTGCCTCATATGTCAATAAGGTTAATGAGGAGTTCCATGCAACCAAAGAAAGGCAACTTCTTAATAATGTACAACCATGGGCTTCAAATTACTATTTTCCATAAATGATGGCAAAACATGTGATCTTGTACATGCATAAGTCTTTGAAGTGTTCAACCATGTACAGATGGCATTTAACTATAAATCTTATATCATGCAGGTTCATGTAGCCAGGTGAGATTTTTTGGGTGGAGTTGTTGTTTGAGAGCATAAATTACTTATCCTCCTTTCATAACCACATCAAGAAGCTTTCAATTGATTTCACTAACATGGATTACTAATTTACTACCCAGATATGCAACTTTTGTTGTAGCTTGCCTGTAAGATGATAAAAAAATGGGACTCCTGACTATGGAACCAAAACAATTAAGTGCCTGTATTTTCATCATAAGCAATAATGATAAGCATCATAGTACAAGGCTTTGGGCCCCAGTGGATAATGAACACTCAGACACAGCTGATACTTACAGTTTCAGGGTTTGGATCCAAAATTCTATGAATTAAGGATTTCGCTCCTACTGGAAACCAAGATGGGCAGGAAAACTCTGCTTTCTCAATCTGTGGAAAATATGACAACAGATCTGGATTTTATTAAGAGCAGAAGTTGCAGGAAAAACAGCCATCAATAGAAATAGAAGTGATAAAAGGCCATAATGATAAATGACCTCCATCTCAGCTTTGAATTTTTCTCCCATATTTATATTATTTATTGAGAATTTTTCGATGCAATAAAAGAACAGAATGTAATCATGAATTCATGATACAGAAGGACAAACAGTGTCCTTTAAACTGTAAATCCATTTCGATCATTTAGACTAAAACTTTAGTTTAGGAGTTCCTCTTCTCTGAAAGGTCCCAAAGTTAACTGAATTGAAACAAATCCAGTGAAGGTAAGATAACAAAAAATTCTGAGCTAGCAACATGCCTTACTGTACAGTGTGGTGAGATCGACCTCATCAAATGGGAGATATCCTGCCAGTAAAACATAAAGGATAACTCCACAGGACCAGACATCTGCTACAGCACCATTGTAGCCCTTATGGCTAAGTACCTAAAAAAGCATGCATAGTTTCATACTGGGGAACATTTGGAGATAAAAGAAAAAAGTGAATGGGTATCAAAGTTACTTATAACTCAGGAAGTCATTCTGATAAGTACCTCTGGTGCAACATAGTTAGGGGTTCCACAAGTAGTATGGAGGAGGCTAACTCCCTGCAGGCAAAAGTTAACCCATGTAATGAATGGTTTCAAATTTAACATTGACTATCTCAAAGCTAGGAAGATATTATTTTAGTCCAACCAAAGTTTCACCTGTGCAGGCAAAGCACTGAGACCAAAATCTGAAATTTTCAGATTTCCTTGAGAATCCAATAGAAGATTTTCAGGCTGTGTAAGAGAGACAATTGTAAGAATTTCATGAAATAGTAAGTGAAAACTAGTTCTCAAGATGCTAACCATGGAACACCTTCAAATCTCTGTGGTAGACACCCTTACTGTGGCAATAATCCACACCATCAATGAGCTGCTGGAAGTATCTCCTTGACTCAGTTTCACTTAGCCGCCCTTGGTGAACCTGCACAAACATGACCTTCCATGCTCTATCACCAATTTAGGGAACAGGAAAGAAGCGCATATCACACCTCTGTGTGTAGCACTTGGAATTTGAGTTAGATGACTCACTATTTTATCAAACAATTCCCCTCCTGTAATGAACTCCAATATTATGTATATCTTTGTACGGCTTGCCAGCACCTAAAGTGTGGTTGATTAAAGTCAGGGAAGAATTAATTACCATAAAGAGGTATACATTTATAAAACAGAGGAGCGATACAACAATTTTGATGTGCCAAAACTTAAGGTGTAAAAATCATGCCTCATGTAGACGAACAACATATGGATGTCTGACTAGCTTCATGATGGATATCTCCCTCTTAATCTGAATGGTAAAAATAAAGCGGAACACTTTAGTGAAGAACTCAAATTTACAAATGCGCAGCATGATTCAAGGAAGAAAGGAAAAAGAGACACACAAAGGGGTGGAAGACCCTCTCCTCCCCCCAAAAAAAGAATCTGAAAATTGTATACAATTCCCCATAAATTTAATGAACTGTAATTACAGTCCCCCCCCCAAAAAAAAAAACAAAAAAAACCAAAACAATCTTTAATACCAAGCTCGCCACTTAGTAAGGAATCTACTTCTGTTTGCTTGTCACTTCTCCCCCAGATTAGTTAATATCTCAACTCAACTCAGCCTTAAACCCAACTATTTGGGGTCAGATACAGAGTTAACTAGTTGATAAATTGCTTTTACTTTAATTTTGTCTACTATTAATTACAAAAAGAAAAAAAAAATACTGTTTCTGTTAGAGAGTCCTACACTCCTGCACCTCAGTAACGCTAATGTTTAGTTACCTAAAATCTAAAGCAAAATCAAATTATCTCTACCACTTATTACTAAAAACAGTTGACAACTCACCATATATAAATACCTACTAATATTCTTCCAAAATCCTTGTAGTTATTTAACTTAGAAAAATATAAAGAAATATTGTGAGGCTATGAGAATCAACCATTTCAACTTTTGATATCTTTATTGAAGAGGTAAGGCATTTTAACACAGATTATTGTATATATGATCTTGTTTCGATAATATGTTTGTATATGACAAGGTTTAGGTTTATGTACCAAAATTAAGTTTATTGAGTTGTTATTGTTATATAATTTAGAATCATTGCTGATAAAAAAACCTTAGTATCATTGTTTACAACTATTATTTCTTGCAGGTTCTTTGTTGTGTCATAAATTGCATCATTTTTTAGTTGTACTCACTTTTTCCTTAACAGTTAATATCCACTATAAATTTTTGTGACTTGTTATAATTGATTGAACTGATATTAAACTTCCGTTGTGATTCATTATAAAAGGATAATATAGAAATAGTAGAAATATATGGTCAAGTGAATTACGTTAAATGTACAAAAGACTTAAAACAAAACCTAATATTCAGTTTTAATTTATAGCCTTTTTTGATCTTCTCATTTTCATAAAGTGAATTTCCCTCCTTTTACCCTACCTTAGTCCACCAGAAGAGAATATCTGGCTACACAGCTGCACACCCACCCACACACACAAGGATGAAAAGTTCAGTCATATCACATATAAATAATGTACCATGGTGGACAAAATTTGTAAAACATATTTCTGCATCAAAAAGGGTTGATTTATGGCTTATAACATCGTATTTAAAGAAGAACTGAGCATAAAGTTATAAATTGAAATGAGTTTCTAATGCACCATCAGCTAATTACTAAATTTCAGGCGTGGTTTCAGTCCATAGTTCTTAAAGCACAAGATCAGGGGTACAACATGTGTGGGTTATTAAATAACTGAATTGCACATCAAAGAAGAAAAGAAGGTTAAAATACAGAAATGTAACGGAGGAGCTTTGCGTGTGGCAATGAAAGTGTGCCTGAACCACATGTTAAATGAAGTTTGTCAATAGTACTCATCAAGTCACAAAAAAAAAGGATGCACTTCTAAAGTTTAAACACCGGAAGTTCATGCCAAATGACCGAAAATATTGCATGCAAAAAAGTGCCAATAGGTGAAGAATTGATATTAATGCCAGTGAGAGAAACTAGCTAGACTAGTATTGACCAAAAAAGAAAAACCTAGACCAGTACTGCAGCTGCTGATCAAATACCACCGGTACCAAAAGTTCCATGCCAGTGGGAGAAACTAATAGACAGTATAAATTCGGGGATTTGCCTTTCGAGGGGATAAACTTTTCCCTGCAAATGGTAAGCTGAATTGAACTCAAACTCATGGTTGCATCAGTTGAGATACAGTTGGAAGTGTTGAGGAGAGAACATGGTATATGAAACTCCATCTTTCTTCAAATATAAATTTGTCGTGGAGTTCGACTAGAAAAATATGTCAACAGAGCCAGCAAACTAAGAAGAATGGTCCCAAGGGCCAAGCTAAAGGCACAAACCATGAATAAATCAAGCCGTCGAATCTTAACACCCATAAAATTTGCTACTGGAAGTGTTCCCGCGTTTAATCTCCATCGGCCTTAAACAGGCTCGACGGCTATAATAATAAATTGTAACACTAACGCAAATGAAGCCCTAGAAACCCGGCAGATCTCTCGCGAACATACGGATGCAAAATAAGTGCAGATAGATTAAATGAAAAGAAAAGAAAGGGAGGCAAATAAATTTTGAATAAAAAATAAACTAAAAAGAAGACCTGGTCGATCATCTTGTGCTTGATGATAGTGTTGCGATCGAGAACTTTCATGGCGACACTCTCACCAGTTTCAGTGTTCTGAGCGAACTTAACTTTTGCGAAGGTTCCTTCGCCGATCGTCCTGCCGATCTCGTATTTCCCAACTTTTCGAACCACCATTTCTGCTTATGTCTCTCACCCTCTCCAATTAGTTTCTTCCTCTCGAGGAGCTCAACGAGCATTTCACACTCACTTTTGATATCAATTCTTTTCTAAAAATAAATAGTATCTCACTATCTTGCCTGCTCTTCTCTGATGAACTAGAAGTCTAGAACTAGGGTATGTAATATGAATTGAATTGAAATCCGTGCAGAAAAGCTTGGATTGGTAGGTGTCAATACGAAGCAACCAATAGCGTGAGCAAAAAGAGAAACAGAAACAGTGGATTATCCAGGTTTTCTGGCCGGTCCAAAACGAAGGAGGCCGAGGAGTAGCCGAGATTCGAGAAGGATAACAGCGAATAGAATAATGCTTTGGCTTTATTGAAGGGTTCGTTGTGGGAATTCGCAGAAGAGTAAAGCCAGCGTCATATGTAGTGTACTTCTTTTACGCTTTTACTTTCTTTCAATTTTGATTCAAAGCATTGATTTTTATAATATATATAGACTACTTCTACTTTCGCGGAATTGAATTCTCTTGCTTTGCCAAATGGCCACTATCTCTGTCAAACGACAGATGATAGTCGTAGGATTGGAAGACATGATGAGGACACGAAACGAGAAATCAGTGAAGTCATTAATCATTATTGAAGCTTGAAGATGAAACATTGAACCGAGCCTACCTCAGATTTCGGAATAATACGACTTACGGAGCTCAGTCCGTCTTTTCTTGTCTATGTACCATGTACTCCTATTTTCTTGTACATGCACTCTGTTTTTTATACCAAGTTAAGAATCTCTTGGTTTGGAAAATATTAACCGGAATTTAATTCACTTTCCATGTTTTTTCTTGTTCTTTCGTCATGTTTTCCTGCCGCATCGGTTGAGTGTCGGACTTTTTTTGTTACCATAAATTGCTTAAATTTCCCCTAAATTTTTTGAACATTGTTGAAATTTCCCTAAATTGATAATTGTAATCATCTTTCTTTAACTTTTTTGACACTGTTGCAAATAAACCCTTTTCGGTTAGAAACTGCTGACAAAAGACACGGAAATGTCTAAAATATTCATACAATTAGGAGAATTGTATGAATACAATTAGGAGAATTGATAGGAAGGACAAATTTAAAAAATAAATCGAATTTAGAAAAGAGAGTGAACAGGTTTGGGCTACTGATTCACATGAAAAGAAAAATTGAAAAAAAAAAACATTTTTGTGAAAAATAACTAAATGGGCATTTTGGAAGTTTTTATGTCTCTTTATATAAGATTTTCACAGAAGGGGGTTTACTTACAACTATGTCACAAAGTTCAAGGTAGGCCATTACAATTATCAAACAAGCAAGGTTTCAACAAGGGTCAGAAAGTCGTGAAGATTTCAGCAATTTACCTTTTTTGTTATTTAATATACTCTTAAAGAGTCTGGATCACCTACCAATGAAATATGTTCCAATACCCTACTAACGTGATCTGACACCTCAAACGGGTCTCACTTTTATGGTGGATCTTAGTATTATGGTGAAATTTGTGATGTCAGATCATGTTGATGATAGCGGGACTAGAATCCACATCTCCACTAGACCAACCAACTGATGTACCAACTGGGTTGGTTTTTATCTAATTTTAGACAGTATTTGTGTGCAATGTTCACTCCTGCTATGGATATGCTACTCGCATTATTGTCTATTATTTGCTGCTTAACCAATCCCACAAGTATTTGGTACACATGGGGTACGAAATTCAGATATGCTGCTTACACACAATCCCAATAGCATCATAACAAACCATTGCAATGCTACATTGGGAAAGGTACAATACGATACACTTCATATTGTATTGAATTTTGAGCATTGGTTATTAAATGTTGAAAGGTTAAAGCTATTGAACTTGTAATTTTGTGTTGTTTTCTGATCCATTGGGTGATCGAGTTGCGATCTGCTATAGGCAAAATGTATAAAATGGAATGGGTTGGAGACAAAATTATGCATAGCATACTGGCAATACATCTTATGCTTGATGGGATGTGGCCTTTATTGCAGGATCGATGATTTATCTCTTAAGTTCAGTTTTATTAACAGGTCCACTAATGAAAGTGTTTAGAAAACTTGACTGATCTGACCGATTGGACAGGTTGAACCATGACCTGAGACCTTGGTCGGTTTCGGTCATACCCCAATAACCGTTTTCATTAAAAAAAATCAGTGAAACCCGACTGATCAGGCGGTTCAGCTGGAAAACCAGTGACTTGGTCTCAGTTTCATGAAACCGCCCGAGTCCTTAACTAATAGAAATTTTAAAATGTGTTGAGCAAAATTTAAACCCATGACCTCTTATTTTTATATATTAATTAATTATTATTAATTCATTTTTTAATTTGTCTTAATTAATGACTCTTTATTTTATATATTATTTTATTAATACATGTATTTTAAAAAAATATAAATTAAGAAATTTGAATCTTAATCATTTACTTTAATTTTTAAAGGAACTTACTATCAATGCACCATATTAAAGTATATATATATATATATATATATCTAATAGTGCATCTCATGAATTGGCCTAAAAGAAAGATCGAATTGGTCCATTGGTGTGCAGAATGGAGGAATACCCCTTCATGGATGATTCCTTTACTGAAAAAGGATGCAGAAGGATTGGATCCTTAGTCTTAGTTTTCTGCTTTTCTATTTGTGTTAGTTGTTAGTTTGTTTGTTTGTTTGTTTTTTTTTTTTTTTTTTTTTTTTTTTTTTTTTTTCTGTTGCTCAGTTTCTATTTGTGTTCGGTTTGTTTTAAATCTTTCCTACCCAAACGAAAAAAAGACTGGGCAAATACATCAGTGTATGCATAAAGTATGGGTCCTATGTGGGCCCATATATTAAGGGTGCAACTTGGGTTTGGCCAGCTTAGGCTTTGAGTTGCGCCGACTGAAATTTTGATAAAATCCCAACCTAATCAAGTAACCAGCCCAAACTATACTCCTAATAAATATAAAATATTAATGCATTCATTTATGATAAATTGCCCAGTTGGCTGTGCAAAATTTTGTATTTGGTCAATCCAGACTCGCATAAAAATAAGCACGTTAGTCGCCTTTTCATAGGCGTGTGCGTTATTGGTAGGATTATGTAGCCCATTGTACACGTCTGGTTACTGGCAGATCAACTAAAATTAAAATTCTGTAATGTAATAGGTCCCGCATGGAGATAGGAGAAACGCGAATATTTAACCATAACCATTGGAATTGGATAAGTAATTAGTATATCGTTGAGTTTTGTGCCACTACTGCTAGTAAGACAAATCAATCAAGCAGTGAAGCAGGAATGGATTGACGGAAGAGGAGAATCCCTGATGGTGGCAGTGGAACGGTGAAGTGGTGGGCCTGGTTCGAGAATAAGTAGGTGAGAGACCATGTTTCCATTTTCCACTAAGTCCATGATCCAAGGTGATCACTCCTCAAAGCATATATGTCCCCATGGCCCATACAATAGTCATTTCACTTTCTGATTCTTAGTGGTGTTTGATTGAGATTGGGTGGTGGGAGTTGGTATAAATGTGGCCACTTTGTATCCTCCGGAGACTGGAAAACGAGTCATGCACTTTCACGCAAGAAGTGGTGGAGTCTAGTCATGGGCTGGGCTTACACAAATCAGATTTTGGTTCCTTCTTGTCTCGTCATTCGTCAATCGTCGTCATAGTGACCTAGTGACTGAATGGGGATTTTTTTTTGGGTAAATTACAAAGACCCTCCTATGGGTTTGTGAGAAAGACTCCCATGTATTTTTGTACTTTGACCGTAAGACAAAAGACCCCTTTCATTAGCTTTCCGTTAAAAATTACCGTTAAAATATTTTTAATCTCCATATTATCCTTATAATAACTATTTGAACAATGATTAAAAAAACAATGTTCATCTTTCCTAATTATGAACAACAGCAACTTGAATTCCTTCACATTTCTCTCTCTCTCTCATCTTCCCCTTCCCCCTTCTTCCTGCTTTACCCTTTCCCCTTGTAGAGAAACATCTGCAAAAACCGTCTTCTATCTGTATGTTCATCATGTTCGGTTTCATTTTACTTCAATCAACATTCCAGTTATTCTACTCCTTCCCCAGATTACTGTTGAAATTATTTCAGCTTCGGTTTCCCCCGCGTCCGCTTCACTGTGCTCGTCGTCTTCGTTGCCGTCGGCGGCAGGGTAATCTATTAGAATCATAGCATGTGACAGGTGCGCACAAGGCATGAAACACTGCTGCGATAATGACTTATGGAGAGGGAAAGGCAGGGAGCTTTCCGATTTTTGATTTACGGGTGGTAAAAAGGACGGCCTGCGTCGTCGGAGGCAGCGATTTCGTTGCCTCTCTTCTTGTCAAATTATTTCTTGAGAAGGGCTATTCTGTCAACACCACTGTCAGGGACCCTGGTTCATCTCTTCCTTCCCCTCCTCTTTCTAGCTCTTCCTTTCTTCGAAGTTTCTATACCTTTCTACTCCTCCGTTTCTAGCTTTTTCTTTTTTGTCTTGATCACAAGAGTGACTAGGAAGTTCCAAGCTCTTGTTGTCTCTTGGCTGTCTCGGCCGGTGGAATCCATTTTAGGTTTAACGTTGACTACAGATACGTACACTTAATTAATCTATTCTGTTTAATTTCGGGGTTACTGTATAGATAACCTGAAGAAGGTCTGGCACCTCCTGGAGCTCCAAAGTTTGGGAGAATTAAAACTCTTTCGAGTAGATCTAACTGACGAAGGGAGCTTCGATGCCGCTGTCTCTCGATGCGAAGCTGCTCTTTCTCAACAACAATGACAAAACGATATTGCTTTTCTTTTTTTTTTTCAAGTTAATAACAAATTAAGGATTAATTTTAGAGTGAATTGTTTAAAACTCCTAAAGTAATGTTGTTGATTGAAACAGAATGATCAAGCCAGCAATTCAGGGAAGGTTAAGTTTTGTCGGAGATTCGACAATTCCGCGCGGGACGAAGTGATTCGCTCCTGTAAACATGTCAACGACAAAACCAGATCTGATGCTGAGTAAAAATACAGAGACGTGGTGAACAAAGTAAGGGAAAAATATTGCAGAGGTAGATAACTGTAGCGGCGGTAATCCCCGATCTTCCTTTCCGTATCTCCGCTGTTATTAATCTATCGTGAGGTTGGGGAAGACGAATAGTGTTTTCTTATTATAAGGGTAATATAGGAATTAAGAAATATTATAATGGCGAAAAGGGATTTTTGTCTTACGGTTATAGTACAGGGGTTTTTGTCGCAAAATAAAATATAGGGGGCTCTTTATCACAAATCCCATAGAAATAAGACTTAAACTATAGGGATAAAAGTAGAAGATAAACACTTGAGTGAGCAAAGTTAGCGAACCAATCCACAGCCAAGTTGCCTTCTTGATATACATGACTACTTGACCTTCCAATTTTTTGACCAGCAACTTGCAACCTTCAAT